CTATGTTTCCGAGCTCATTGTTTGCCATGATTGCACCTACAATACTCACACGTTAGTAACAAGGAAGGAAAAGAAGATATTCCCAAAACACACCTAAATATATAGCTAACACCGTTTTTTAGCTCCCGACAACGGCGCTAAAAATTGATCTCGTCCAATTTCACTCCTCTATTTGAGGATATAAAAACGGTCGATGCAATAGTAATACCCAACAAGAGTCGGAGTCGAATTCAGCAGGGAGCAATGTGAATGAGTCTTAGTAGTATATATCTTAGTGCGTGAGTTTGTATATCTAAATTTGCACTTCCGCAATTGGTTTTGTTTAAAAATCTAAATTAAACTACGATTGCAATTTAAAAAAAATGAAACTAGGAAATTGTTTTTGGTTGTTTTTTAAATGATATAAAAGGCCTAGACCTTCACCTAGGTATTTGCCTAATGAGTTATAAACTTTAAAGCTTGTTTTATTGGTCGGGGTGTATCATAGCTATCAACACTCAAATACCCACTCACTACCTCTCAGTCAGAGAGTGGTTTTGCCCAGTTTGGCTTTCTTAAGTCCAAATGGGTATTGAACAAAATAATTAATAATAAGCTCAAGTGGGTTTTATTATCTTTAGGTTCAAATCTTTAATTGGGCTTATCAATCTCTCGATTGACCTAATTTCTTGCTAGCCAAGTTTTTCTAGACTAGGTCTCTCTTTCTCAAGTAGAGACCAAGTCAAATAGGCATTAAATAATATTTGCAACCATTAATTCTTCACATAAAAGTAATAACTAGGCTAGATAATCAACACCCAACCATAAATAAGCAATAAATCAAACACCCATTAAGCTTACACACTAGGGTTGGGTCACAACCCTAGTGAAAAATCTAGCTACTCATGCTTAAATTGGAAGAAAAAGAAGAAGAAGAAGAAGTGATAATTAAAATGATGAAATCAATATTCAAAAAGCTTAAAATAGCAAAAACTACTAAAAAGAGTAAAAGAAACTGTCTACTGTAGCAGTTGATGTCAACACTTAACCTAAAAAAAGTGAAACTTTTCTATTTATACAGTGCTGGAATTTTCGGACAAATTTCCTTTCGGAGGTTCTGCAGCCGCACAATTCCATGTGCGGTCCGCACTTTGCTTCAGCCTGACAGGATTGGAAACCTACGGCCGCATAATTCTATACTGCGACCGCACTTATCTCTTTCTGCGGACAACATAAATATGTTTGTGGCTGCACCATGCTCTTCTGTGGTCCGCACAAATATGATTGCGGCCGCATCATGCTCTTCTGCGGTCCGCAAAAATATGGTTGCGGCCGCATCATGCTCTTCTGCGGCTGCACAATGATTGTACGGTCCGCACTCTTGTTGAACTTGAGATACAGGTTATCTGAACATTGGCTTTTACCCTGTTTCTATGGCCGCACAATTTCATGTGCGGTCCGCATCTTGCAACCTTCTCTGATGGAATTGCTTCATGACCTGCAGCTGCATCTGGTATTCTGCGGACTGCACTTTGAGCTTTTGTGTTGTTTTTGTCCTTAAGTTCAGATTACTCTTTCTTGAAGTGGATTTCATCTTTGGAGCTCATCTTCCAATATTCCTGCAATTAAGCATATTTTATTAGTTTTCGGAAACACAATTAAGCACTTTTGGACTAAAACGAAAGCAAAAAGGCGCTAATAACTAGTCAAAATCCCCATTTATCAACTCTCCCAAACTTAAGCTTTTGCTTGTCCTCAAGCAAATAAGGTAATTCCCACCTCCACAAGTTAAGAGCCATTCCAGCTAATCAAAGGTAAATCAATCACACATCAATTGGGACCAACAATTACCCACGACACTTATGAATTATCAACAAGGAAACAAGTTAAACAAGTTAAACTTTTAAGCACAAATAGTTCTAATGTGATACTTGAGCATCAAAAGTTGACTTTATTCATCAAGGAAGCTCGCTCTTTTATGTAGGTCATTGTGGATCCTAAACACCTCCTCCTCTACTCTCATTTTGCCTATCTCACTTAAGAATATAGCACTCAATTCACAGATTTGTGAAAGGTTCACTCATCTCTCTCAAAAGAATGTCGCAAGTACGGCTTTAAGTACTATAGGCTTTTCCCTCATGTAAATCACTACTAATGTAAGCTTACTCGGCTTTAAATCACGTAAGGCTTTTTCGGGATGCAATGAAGACTTTTGGAATAAGGTTGGATAAGCTATGATAGAACAGGTTCATCTTTCCTTAAGCACTCCATTTACTTTTATCGGCTCATGCTTTTGCCAACTCTTTGAAGCATTTTCTTTTTATTAAGGGAACTAGAGAGACTTAACATCACTCTTTCTTGGCCATGTTATTCATTTTTTTCCTTCTTCGCTTTTTCCATGCTTTGCATCATTACTTTTCTTTGAATCACTTCAACTTTTCAACTTATTCACCTTTTTTTTTACATTTTTATTTTTGTATTTTCTTTTTCTTGCCTTTCCTTCTATTCATTTATTTTCTCTTTTGCCTTGCTACTTTTTTTTCAAACTCCTCCCAAACTTACATTTTTAGCCAATTGTTTCACAAGAGTGTTAAGGAAAGCTCGGGTGCCAAGATAGGGTCATAACAAAACAGGTAAAGGCTTTAACGTGGTGATCAAATGAGAAAAGTTTTAGGCTCAATTGGATTGACTAGGGATAACAACTTTGGTGGGCTATGAAAAATTTCAAACGGATCAAAGAGAGCCTACAATCACTTCTCAAGCCAAGCAAAACTTAAAATTTTGCCTAGAAACACATTCGGGACAAGTTCTAGACCATTTTCACGGGTACTTGGACTTGCACTAACAACATCTCACCTCTCACGCAGCTGGATTGTTAAAGAGGATAGAGTCGAGCACCCACAACGACCATATTCAAAATTAAAAATCACTATGGTTCGACTAAACCACTCGATGATTGCCTAAGTCAACACAAGAGTCACAACGTCACTAACTAGAGCTATTTCTTTCCAAAAACCTTATTTTTAACCATAAGCATGTAGTTAAGTGTGTTGGTAACAAGTGAACCATGTTTGACTCTTCGAGCCTGACTCAATTAGGTCTTTTTATTTATTATTACTACTATTCTTACCTAAACACCAAAAACGGATTCAATCCCTTAAAAAGGTCGCCATCTATCGTTGGGAAGAGTCGCCCGGTTCACACAAAAATTACCTTTGGAAAGAACCGTGGAATTAAAAAAATCAAAGGCTTATTGTTCACTAAAACATAAAAAGAAGCTACAAAATTAAAAAGAAGCTACTAGATTAAACATAGACTAATAAAAAAACAGAATAAATAAGCTAAAAAGCAAACTACTGAAAGCATAATGAATATACATAATGAGAGAGGAAAAGAGAGAATATATACAATATCAGCAGGTTTTAATGATATTGTATACACAAACATGGATATAGAGGACAAACATAGGTGGACATAAAATTCTCATTCAAGTACATACATGAGATATTCCAGCCAAGATTTTACAAACAGGATTGGATTTCAATCATTTTAAAGTCAGGTCAATAATATCATTAGAGAAGTTCAGAACAAAAGAGACTCTATACTAAGTAGGTTTAACTTAGTTATACAGATTAAGGAGTGGTAGTCTAAACATGATGGGGTTCCATTCAACTTATTGACATAGTAATTGATACTTAGTCACAGTAGATACGATTATATCCTAATTCATAAGAGAGTGAGAATAATGATAGCTTTTACTTGAGGGAGGAAGACTATCCGTGTGAAAGCAAAATCGCTGGATAAAAAGCCCAATGTCTAGAGGTCTCTGCGCTTGACCTCTGACCAAGAATAATGATGATGACACTGTAAAGTAGTCATGCATGCCACTAATTTTGATAGAGCATAACGAATCTCTAAGGATTCGACCTTGCACCACCAAGTGGTCTAGGGTTTTGAATTAGGGATTTTGAAATCCAATCAGTGAAATGGAAAGGAAAATAACAATCTTCGTAGCCTAGATACAAAGCGAGTGATTCTGCGAGTTTGGACTCAAAAGAACAAAGATGAAATGGTGTTTCGATGCTAAGGTTCAGGTTCTGGTGCTTCAGATTTGATGAACGAAAAGGGAAATACCAGCGGGATTCATGGATAGGGAAGCAGGTGATGTGATGAGATATTGATTATAAAATCTATGGGGTGTATATAAAGTTATTTTAATAATCTTAAAATAGTAAGTATAATTCAAAGCTACTAATACTTAGTTAATTTGTAAAATAGGTATTATTAATTGAAAATATTTTAAATATTCATTGCAAATTATTAAGTATAAATAAATTAATTTAAAAAGGTGAGAATCAAAATTGGCCGTCAACAAGTATAACATAGATATAATTTAGTACAACATGGAATATGAATAAATATTTATGGTGAATATTTGTGTCATCTTGATAAATCTACCAAATACACTACATCTTATCTCAACCTTTTTTATCTTTATTCCGGTCTAAATTATAATCTCCCATTATTCTCATTTCAATTCAATTGACCGCCCATGTCCCTTTGAATTGGACCCTAGTTTACTTAAGTCATGTGCCTTCCACAAAAAGTGAAGTGTTGAAGCTTCATTCATTAGCATAATATCTATCCATCCATTTCAAATTAAATTGGGTACTTTTCTTTTTATTTTGTTTCAAAATAAATGACATATTTTTAAATTTGGAAATACTTCAACTTTAAACTCTTTATTTTGCTATTTTTACCCTTAATGAGAAGCTTATATAACCACACAAATGTCATGACCCTATAAAGCTTTTACCCCTTAAACTTTTAAGACCATACGTTTCAAAAATTTCTTTTTTTTTTTTAAATTCTGTGCCGAGTCAAACTACCTCGTCTAAATTGAAAGGAGTATGGTACTTTCCATTTCTCCCTTTCCCTCGCATGAAGGATAAAGCAATAAAAAATATTTAAAAAAATTGAGATCTGTCACTTTCGTTTATTTTGGACTTGTGGGCCACTTTTTCTGGATCTTTGGCTGTCATCAGTCACCCCCATTTTCCCATTCCTCTCATCTGCTCAAACCGACAAGTTAATTGTGTGAGGAGCAATGGCGGACTGGGGCCCAGTGTTGATAGCAGTGGTGCTGTTTGTGCTGTTAACTCCGGGCCTATTATTCCAGCTTCCCGGCCGTGGAAAAGTGGTTGAATTCGGAAATATGCAAACTAGCGGCGCCTCCATTTTGGTCCATACCATTATTTATTTTGGCGTCATCACTATCTTCCTCCTCGCCATTGGCGTCCATGTCTATGCTGGCTAAATGATTTTACCTTCACTTTTTGTAAGTTGTAACAAACTCTCTTCAGATTGTATCATTACATTTCTGATTGCTACCAATTGGTGAAATGTGGGACTTTCCCCTCCTTAATTAGTCTAATACTCCGTATAATTCAAAGCAATATGCACTACTTTTCTTAGGTTCATCATTGTACACGATCGTTAGAATCTGCAAATATTTCATCGCTCTTTGGAATAATGATTGTGCTTCAAGTACAATGATGAAAAATCGAATTACTATTACTCCCCTAATCCCAACAAGAGAGTAAATCAACGAAAGAATATGTCGTAAAAATCCGGGAGTGTTTGGACAAGATTTGGTTGAAACATTAGACTATGTATGAAGGAGAATGACTTGTGGTCAATGTATAATTTTATAGCCAAAGGTTATATTCCAAGTTGATTTTATTTTCATTATGGTCACTGCTTGATATAACCTCTGCTTTAAACAAAGGATACGCAATTAGCACTTTGAAATCAAAAAGTGGTAGACTGATTGTCACTGCTTAATGCTTATTGAATAGTACTATTGTTTGCCTTAACTGACACTTGATTGCTGTTAATGGTCAAGCCATACCTTTTGGCTATTTCTCTTCCTCCTTGCTATTCGCTTTTTCTTTTTTTTCCCTCGTTTGAATTTTCAAAAAGCATCTTATGTCTGAATACTAGCAGCTAGCCTCCCCTAAGGCCTTTCCCAGCTATGCGTGTGATCACATAGGTGGAGTTGTAGTTATATTTCCATTAACCAGTAAATCGGTTAGTGTCAGAAATGAGCTAAATTGTTCTCTGTTTCATGCATCTTAGCTGATCAAATGCCCTTCTCTTGGCGAGTTATTTGCCGTAGTATCATTTGGGCATAAGCGTGCAGCTCATATTGTTATTGTTGTTCAGAGAAGGGTGTTGCCAGTGCCATCCTCCCAAAGGTTAATCATACACATCATATTCTCAAATCATTAGACTTCTATAACTAAATGTCAATAATAAGAACCTACTGCTTATTGCAACTATTGAAATTACGAACTACACCCAACAACACGTACTATAGCAGTATATAGATGATATATCTAACCAAGGCTTTGGGAATTCACATCAGCTAGATTCTAGTGCTTGATGAAGGGATTTAAAGGAGCTTCTTGGTACATTCTTGAATAACAAAGAAAGTATTTATAACCTTTGTTGCTGCTGATTTTGAGGTGACCAAACTTCACTCTCTTGTCAAAGAAAAAATGGGTGGGGGGAAGAAGAAACTTGGGTCAATTTCTTCTGGAGTTTCTGGAGTCCATCTCAGAATTTGAATACAGCAGTCACAAGATTTCTTGCTGCCACTTCTTTGGTAAGTGCAGTAAAAATAAAATGACAGATCACTTGTTGCCAGGGTTTCCAGCAGAAACATTAGTTCAAAGCTATAGAACTGTTGGTGCATACAATTAATCTGTTACAGTCCTGCATATTGAGCGCGGCCAGCATCCCCAGTGAGTGCATTATATTCTTTATCCATCTGCCGAGGATTTATGGAAGGTTCATTGGTGGAGACAATGTGTTTCGTACGATGAAAATATTTTTTTTGGGCGCTGAAATAAATGCTCAACTTTGTAGGTAGATGAAACGGGGCTGGTGTAGCTTCACCTACGAGTATGTGAAACTATCCGATAATAGCACAATCACTTGAATTGCTTTGTGTGAACTGGTTATGAGGCATATTGATTTCACTTATCAAGCACATAGAAGGTCAATAAGATCATAAGAGGGGTGAATTAGTTGTAGTCCGAGGAATATGAAATGGAACATATTTTTTATAATAAGATTTTCCTCGTTTTCTGGTTGATCAACTATACATAAAATGTCAAAAAAGAAATAACGAAAATGATTTTAACCTTTCCTGTAAACAAAGCCACTCATTCAAGTTTCGTCTTCCATTCCGAGTTGTAGGACAGTTTTCAATTTTGTAAGTCAAATATTGAACTCCTCTGTAATAATTAATAACATTACGAATATAGCTTTTACAACTAACAGAAATTCAAATTCGTTTCACTATACATATTTTAAAGTTTATTGTGCATTTTCATCAGAATTATCATTATTTTAACATTTTTCCACTATCATTATATAATACATTACTTAAAAACCATAAATTTTTTATTTACTCAACTATCTCACATAAAATTTGACGAATATTAGGAATTGGAATGAGGGAGTACAAATTTGTCAGGCAGAGGTATTATTTGAGGTGCAAGACAAGATACCAAAACGAACGGGAGGCAATGTGGTGTGACTCAGTTCTTTCAAAAACGCTTGTGAATTAAAAACGATTATTGAATCCAAGGGTTTGATCTGGTGGTTAATAAAGTAAGTTGAGAATCATGATTATCTGCTAGTGCAGAGTTAATTGATACTTATAATATTGAAATATAGCAAGAATCCCATAAAATTAATCGAGTTGTGTGAAATCTAACTCGAACTCCACTATTATCTTAAAAAAAGTGAACAAGGATTCCGAAATACTACTAGTATACTTTTGAAGCTATTTCTTTCGGTTGGACGTAGAGGTGTTAACCGGACGAGTTGAAAGGGACTGGTCGTGGAAAAAAAAACAGCCCGTCCGGTTAGTGGGGCGAGCTGGTTAGTGTGTTTGTGTTCCGGGCTGGTAGTGGGCTGGGTAATTTCAGGTTCTAGCGGGCCCGTCCGGGTTCGGGCCTATCCGGTTCGAACCAGATCGTATTTTTTAGTGTATTATATTTTCTTATTCAATGTAATTGATACTTAAGTGTTTATAAACTTTTAAATAATAAAATAACTATTATAAGATATAAAATTAAACTTTTAAACTTTAAAGTTTAAAGTGTTAAATTTGAAAGTTGAATTTTAAAATTTGAAAATTGAAATTAAGTTGCTACATAAAATTATTTAATAAGACCAATATGTAAGGATCAAATTTCAACGGCTTTTATTTCATATTTTCATTGCATAATAATATTTCAAATTAATTTGCAAGTTCTATTTTGATTTTTTTATTTTTGAACTTGCAAATGCAATTATAAAAAATAAGAAAGAGTACATCACATGCTTTGCATTATTCTTGTAAGTTCTTCCATGTCAACATGAGGTTCTTGGTTTCCGGCATTGCTTGAATCGGAACCATAAACCATTATATCTCCAAGGTCCTCCGGTTCATCTACCTCTTCACGCCCTTGATCTCGTCGCTCTGATCTTATCCAATCTCTGAAGCACACTAGGACTTCCATAGTGTGTCTACCCAATGAGTGACGGGTATCTCCTAGCTGCTGCCTTGCTTCGCTAAATGCGCTCTCTGATGCAACTATTGAAATCTGCACATTTAACACGTCTCGAACCATAGCCGAAAGAACAGGAAATTGATTTGAGTTGGTTCTCCACCAAGGCAGCGGTAGAAATTCCTTTATGCGGGGCTCTGTTTCCTTTTGCAAGTAGAATTAGAGTTCATCAATATTCCTTCTACTAGGTTGTTGATGCTCTCCTAGTATAGACCAAATTAAATAATTTTTAACACCATCATTATCCTCCATAGCACCGAATGCAGATGTAGAAAATAAACTTGAAGGAATATTTGCATTTGCATCTACACCAGAAGAAACATTAACAATGTTAGCATAATAATTAATAAGTGGAGATTTTCACAACTTATTAGCGCCTTTTAGCTTTCGTTTTAGTCCAAAAGTGCTTAATTGTGTTCCCGAAAACTGATAAAATATGCTTAATTGCAGGAATATTGGAAGATGAGCTCCAAAGATGAAATCCACTTCAAGGAGTAAACTGAACTTAATGACAAAAACAGCACAAAAGCTCAAAGTGCGTTCCGCAGAATACCAGATGCGGCCGCAAGCCATGAAGCAATTCCATCAGAGAAGGTTGCAAGATGCGAACCGCACATGAAATTGGGCGGCAGCAGAAACTAGGTAAAAGCCAAAGTTCAAAGAACCTGCATCCCAAGTTCAATAAGAGTGCGGACCGCACAATCATTGTGCGGACGCAGAAGAGCATGATGCGGCCACAACCACATTTGTGCGGACCGCAGAAGAGCATGATGCGTCCGCAACCACATTTGTCGGACCGCAGAAGAGCATGGTGCGACCGTAGACATGTTTGTGCTGTCCGTAGAAAGAGAGAAGTGCGGCCGCAGTTCAGAATTGTGCGGCCGCAAGTTTCCAATCCTGTCAGGCTGAAGCAAAGTACAGACCGCACATGGAATTGTGCAGCCGCAGAACCTCCGAAGGGGCATTTTTGTCTGAAAATTCCAACACTGTATAAATAGAAGAGTTTCACTTTTTAGGTTAAGTTTTGACATCAACTTCTACAGTAGACGATTTCTTTTACTCTTTTTAGTATTTTTTGCTATTTTGAGCTTTTTGAATATTGATTTCATCATTTTAATTATCAATATGGGTTTAATTATCACTTCTTCTTCTTTTTCTTCCAATTTAAGCATGAGTAGCTAGATTTTCACTAGTGTTGTCACCCAACCCTAGTGTGTAAACTTAATGGGTGTTTGATTTATTGTTTGTTTACAGTTGGGTGTTGATTATCTAGCCTAGTTCTTGCTTTTATATGAAGAATTAATGGTTGCAAATATTATTTCATGCCTATTTGACTTGGTCTCTACTTGAGAAAGAGAGACTTAGTCTAGGAAAACTTGGCCAGCAAGAAATTGGGTCAATCGAGAGATTGATAAGCCCAATTAAAGGGTTGAACCTAGAGGTAGTAAAACCCGACTTGAGCTTATTATCAACTATTTTGTTCAATACCCATTTGTACTTGAGAAAGCCAAACTGGGCAAAATCACTCTCTGACCGAGAGGTAGTGAGTGAGTACTTGAGTGTTGATAGCTATAATATACCCCGACCAATAAAACAAGCTTTAAAGTTTATAACCCATTAGGCAAACACCTAGGTGGAGGTCATAGCCCTCGGCCTTTTATATCATTTAAAAAACAACCAAAAATAATTTTCTAGTTTTATTTTTTTAAAATCGCAATCGTAGTTTAATTTATATTTTCAAACAAAACCAATTGCGGAAGTGCAAATCTAGATATACAAACTCACGCGCTAAGATATATACTACTAACACTCATTCACATAGCTCCCTGCTGAATTCGACCCCGACTCTTGTTGGGTATTACTATTGCATCGACCGTTTTCATATCCTCAAATAGAGGAGTGAAATTGG